AAATAAAACACACTCTGGAAAAAGTTTAATTTTTGTTAATATTTATTTATTTATTTAAAAAACATAATTTTAAGATAGTAAATAGTGGGAGTACCTTAAGGTAGCTCCTTTAGCTGTAAATTATTTCACTCTAGTCTTTTATGCAGGCCATTCAGTGGAATGATGCCCATTTTAAAAGCTGCATATTTTCTCTTCTGCCGTCATAGATTTTAACTAATGATCATAAAATGTAAGACTAAGCTTGCTAGATACTCTCAGTATTATTACATATGATAATAGCAACTGCAGGTACACGCTGCTACAGTTCAGACTGCTACCAGCCCACAGAAGAAAACTTAGTCATGCCTTTCAACAGGACAACAAGAGTTTGAAATGCATTTGATGCAGTAACTACATACATTTTGTACAATGTGCTAAAAGAACCCGCAAATTATTTTGTGAAGACAGTACAGTATTTAATGATGATCTATATGGAATATAGATATAAATATATATGCTTGCTGCTATTTCTCTCACTTCTTGTGATACTTTCCAGGAACGGATTGCTTTCTTCTCTACAACTGCCTTTTCATTTTCTTTTTTTAAAATAGACCCATAATGTTCAGGGGAAATATCAAGAATAATAAATCCCCAATCTCTGTATAAAATATACCTTCATGACATGACACACTCAAGCTGGAAATCACAGGAACCAATAAAAATGCAGGCAGCCTACTGATAATGAGGTCAGAAATACAAATAAATTTACTTTTAATGAAGGACTGGAAGCACAGTAATCAAAGTGTTAAAATTCATTTCATGCATATCTTATTTGCTTCTTAGCTGATATTTACCACGCAATTCTGTGAGAAAGTAGAGGCCTAAGATGCTCCAGATAAATGGCTCAATTAATTGTACAGAGGTAGACCTCTTTGAGCCAAGCCAGAGCTGTGAGCTCTTTATTAAAAGCACTATTCTGTAGCCCCTAACCTTGTTCCTTGACTCCTCTCTGGTTTCCAATTTAAACAAGTCCCCATGCGGCCTGCTCTAAAGGGCTTTGTCTCCCTGTCATTGTTATGAGCGCTGAGGCATCCTGGAAGTGTGAAATCAGACCTCATGAGTTGAACGGTTCCCCAGGGAACGCAGGACTGCGCAGAAGGTCAAAGTCATGGGCCGGACCGTCTAAAAGTGTCTGATCGCCGGTGTGTGACACAGCAAGTTGGGGGTGGGGGCTAGACTGAAGAGGACTGAAATTGAACACATCTTAATTAAAGCCCATAGACAGCAAAACAAAATGTTTTCTAGGCAGCCTGTCAAATGGGGCTTAAATTTAGCTCTGCTAATGAATCTGAGCCGCTCACTGTTATTTTGTAAGATAATAAGATTCTCTTCACAGAAGCTGATAAAAAAAAGCAAAACAAAACAAAAGTGTAGCATGTCTTTTTCTGCTGTTTTGTTACTTAAATATTTTTAAACAATGACGACAGTTTTCCCAAAGGACAACATGGAAAAAGTCTATGCAAATGAAGGGGGCACTAAACATTCCTCTTTAATGACTAGTGGCCTCTAGACTGCCGGGTTGACATGCTTTATTCATAACTTACTTTGGGGGGAAAATAGACATTTTTTGGGACAATTTCAGTGACTATTAATCATAAATCCCTCTTCTATTCTCCCCTTCTCTTCCTATAGGACATGAGACATTCATTTGCTAAACCAGTTCACCTGGGATAGGACCTTTTAACACGGGACAAGGCAGCACATCTTTGGAAGGACTAGCAGCTCTTCCCTGCCAGCGTTTCTGAGAGGCTGGTCTCCCTGGACAGGGCAGGACCTCCTTCTCAGGGGGAAAGCAACAAAGAAACAAAAAACTCCACAGCCCTGGGGAAAAGAGAATGAGGGGCTGAGGATGACTCAAAAACTGGAGAAAAGTGGGAGGGGGCCCTAGGAGGAGAGAACACTCTTCTTTCTTTCACAGCTTGAAAGACCCCGTCTCCCAGGTTTAAATACTCTACTGAGAAAGTCTCACTCAATACAGAAGACTTGAAATGCTCTGTTACACGCCAAAATTAGGCCCTACTTAAGGACAAAGAATAGTCAGGAGCAAGAAAAAGACAAAACCTGCACCCCTCCCCCACTCTCACACACATGCCCTGGTTGGTTTTTCTGGTCTCACAATCTGGCCAGTTTTAGGGAGCATGCAATTTCATGTTGGAAGGAATTTCCCCCAGTGCACAGGACCCGAGTCTCTAGCCTTTGCTTTGACTGTACAGGGAAGCAGTAACCTCTCACCGGGTAGTCAAGGGGAGTGAGCGGTACTTAAAAGGATTTTTCACTTACTCAAACTTTTTCACATAGAAGAATTTAGTACGCCAAGGCTCCAAACCCCAGCGCCACTTTCTCAGGCTGTGAAAGGCTGTCCACAATTTGCCTGAAATTTCAATCCAGTCTTGTGCTGTGCTCAATGTGTGCATATGTGTGGGAGTTGTAAATTGAGGCCTTAACCACCAGAGTTAATCTCTTTTAAAAATCTGTATTAACCTTAATGATTTGAAGTGCACTGTCCAACACTGGGCTATTGAGACTGAAGAAAAAACCACCCTTGACTATCAATAGTTTATTAGGGGCTTAGCTGAAGTGACCTACTGTAGTAGTGTTCAGCTGAACAAGGCTATAGGCTTTTTGTGGGAAGGAAAAGAATTGAGGGTTTCATTAAAAAGTAATTTGTGCTTTACACTCACTCATTCAAAGAGTCTCAATTGCTCTTTATTCTCACAGAGTTAATACAGTATTACAATGTTTCCCAATGAATATGTTGTAACAAAAGAAAAATTTTACATTTTGAAAGGAAAAAATTCTTTGTAACTGCAGTAAGATTGATGGTGACTTAAAGATTTTTTCTCCTGTGCTCATTAATGTTGGAATATTAATTAAAAATTGTGTTTAAGTGACTTGTGTTATAATGATCAAAAACATCTTAAAATATATGAAAGTTGGTCAGGTATTAGTTTGTCTTGTCAGAGTTCTGTAGGAAAGAAGTTATTCTGAAGCCAAATATCATCTCACTAGAGCTTCATTTGTCCCAGTTCAGAAAGTATGTCTGCCTTAGCAACGAGAAAGTTAGTCATGATTTTAAAATTGCCTTTCCCCAGCCACAAGCTTCTAGATGAGTGATTCTCAACCTGTGGGTCACCACCTTTTTGGCAGACTTCTGCCTCCAAAAATATTCACATTACAATTCATAACAGTGCAAAAATATACTTTAGAAGTAGCAACAAGAGTAATGTTATGGTTGGGAACGCCATAGCAATGTAACTGTGTTAAAGGGTCTCCACATTAGGAAAGGTGGGAACCACCGCTCTGAGCGTGTGCATAACTGCAGACTTGAAGACAGAACGACCCACTCAGTCCCTCTTCTCTCTACTTTGGTTTCTCTTTGGGCAGAGCTTCACTGTCATTAACCATTAAGACAGACACCAACTTTTCAAAGTTCTGTGGAGATGAATCCAAGGAAAGCACATGAAGAGCTTGTTTATGCCCTAAATTGTTTATATTTTCATAAGCAATATTACCTTTTAAATTAATAGTATATTTAGACATTTCTGACTTAAACACATGGCCTGTAATTTTTGCCACCATCACAAATGTCATAAAAACCACAGAAGGTCCAAGGGTGAGCAAGGTCAAAGACAGAATTATCCACTTGGCCCTGAATAGTTCAACATCTCTCTTGTTCAGTCCCGAGCCCATTAGATTATAAGGTCAGCATGGCATGAGGAATCATTAGATTTATATCCATAAAACTGAAGGGGAAAATTGAGATTCAGTTATTCAGGATTCCCCAAATTAATGTTCACTTTATCAAATAAAAATTATATCTCATTGAATCTCCACCAGAAAGGCTATTGTTATTCACGCTGATTTACATAGAGCCATTAGGAAAGAAATATCTCTATTTTTTCCAACTTTGAAAGAACATGTACTTTAACTTCCATAGTGGCACACAGGCCAAGTAGGTTAACCTTGTTTGCATATTCATGAAGTTTAAAAGTCGATGACAGCTTCTTGCCGAAAGGAGACAAACTTATACAGCTGCATTCAGCCTGAATAATGGCAGGTAGCTAAGCGTTTGAAATAACAGGTATGTGAATTTTTCTGTAAGAAATTATTGTGCACAGGTTGAGTCACTGATAACTATACAAGAACCAAGTTCTTAAGAAAGAAAATGCATAAACTCACCATTCACAGTTTTTTTTAAACCACCAAATGCTAAGGAATCTCACCCTCAAAGATTACAGCTACCCCTAGCCCCACTATTCTCAAGTATCCACATATACTTTTAAAATGCAAATGTCTTCAGTTACAAATAAGCTAAAAATTATCTTTTACAAGAAATTATAAATCTCTAACATTTTTGTATCTTTATATATTATACTCACTTGCTGATATACAAATATGAAAATTTTAAATATTGCTATTTTGGAGCAAACATCTGCTATTTGATTTTGAAGAGAATTATCTTTTAATCTGTTTTCAGTTCTGCTGCATGAATAAAAGAAGAATACAGTGATTTGCTGACCACTGAATGGTAAGAAAAGGATAGTTAATTCAAGTATGTCTGCAACTTTAGCAGGACAATCTTGCTTAACATTTAGAATAATATGTTTATTTCCACAAATAATAAGACAATTTTCCCAGCACAGTGATTTCCAGAAAACTGGCAAGTCAGCCCTAGCATGCCAACCAATTTTAGATAGACAATTCAACATGTGGGCATGACCATCATTCAGATCTCTATGGAATTAAATGACAAATAAATGGTCATGGCTCCAAACAAAATAATTAATTAACTCTGTATCTTGATGATATAAACATCATAATCTCATTTTTAATATGTTGAATAAACAGCAATACTAAAACTATGGACTCATTTGCTGTGTTTACATTTCTGTGTTCTGGGTAAAAAGTAATGTTATACCTAGCACATACATACATGATAGGGGAATTTCACCAGCTCCTACCTGTGACATCAGCAGCCATCAAACCTTCAGCTCTGATGACTTTCACCTGGAGAAATCCCACGTCTTTTATGTTGTTAAATATCCTCAGTGGGCTCTGGAAAACCCAAACATGGGCATTAGGAAAAGAAACCTAAGGAAGCCTCAAAAATATGCTTAGAAAACACTACATTTTCTCAGAATACTTTCTTAGAGGGTAAAAGGGTCATTTGTGCTTTTCCAATACCAACTATACTTCCTATATCAGGAGTAAATAGAAACGCATGTGCACGTGAGCACATCCACACACACATCCACACATATGTAAGTACTAATAAGTGATTTTCTGGGGTCAAAATAACAGTTACTGATGATTAGCCACACTCGGTAGATGGTGAGCAATGGGCTGCAAAGCAGCTGTCCCCATGGCTTCTCTCAGTGTCTTCTACTAAAGGACCTCACAAATATTTCATTTGTAAATATGATAGTTTGAAGATGATAATGAATAATATTAACTCCTGCATGATTGCTTACATAACACTCCTCAGACAGGGTAAGTTATTGAGAAAATCAACACTAACAAATTATTTTTTCTACCATTTTGTTCTTAGTGCTTAGATAAGGTGTACATTATCTAAAAACTTTGCTAATAGTTCACTCAAAGACTTACGTAACTTTATAAAAACTTTAAGGGATACGATTTTCAAAAGCAAATTAGATTGATAAAATAAATCCAAAAGCAGTGAGAAAATTGTCTTAAGTTTATATTTGTATTTGTTATAACATATAGAATTGTGGAGTTTTGATGATAATAATAAAAATAAAATAAAAACTTGATTGTGATGCCTTACTAAGCATAGACATGAAATAACTAGAGGAGGAAGGCCAACAGAATTAATGGTCAGTGCTTCTACTGAATAAATCAAAGATACTTAATTTCTTACCATCTTTAAAATGTTTCATAACAAGGTAGTTTAATAAACTTCTGCATAAAATATTATCTATCAAAAGTTGCTACAATAAAAGCAATCCATTAGTGTATTACTGGCGTGAGGGTACACACAAGCCAACGCTTCTACGATGCGAACTTATCAGTCCTGATAGCTAGTCACTATTTACACTGAAGCTATGACCTTGGCACCGTGAAAAGAAATACAGATAAATGTGTAATCTCATAGCATGACTTTGTAAAAACAGTGTTCGGTACAGAAGATTAGCTCTTAATCTCTAGACACAAACAACAATTTATCACCAAAAATTTATTTGAAAGGCCCATTTGACTGGATTTAGTAAAAATGCACTTGTCACTCTTTTTAAATTCCTACAAATCAAAGGTTTAACAATAGAGCAGGGCTGTGGTTCTGAGGCTTCTCAGCGCTCACTCAATATAAGAAACAGCTAGGAATTCCTCCCAGTGATGGGGAGCAGTTTCGTCAAAGGCTCCAGTACTTATTTTCTTCATGAGCAATTGAAAACAGTTTCATGGTGACCGAAACAAATATTAGGAGTCAGAATCATTCACTCCGGAAGCTGGCCAAACAGCTACGTTCGCACTGCCTTTGGGACTTCAGTTCGGGGACCCTGCTCTGCTACTGGAAGGGTGATTATAGTTTGAAGGGTTCCTTCTCCAAGGCACCTGACATCTGACAGTTTATTGCAAATTTCTACTGTTTAGGCCAGTGACATACAGATTATAATAAGAACTCAAAGAAAAAGCAAATAAATACCAGTCTAAAACTGTAATTTTATGTAAAGCTTTATCAAGGGATGTTCCTGTGTTGTTATTTATGGTTATTTTAGAAGGCCTCAAAACCTGGATGGCTTTTGAAGCCAGACATTTCCATAGCAGAGGAATCCATGATTCGCTGTGAGTCCTTTCAGCCCTCGATAGATGGGAAGAGATTGAAATGCTCTGGAGAGGAGGCCTCTTTATTTTTTTAATGAAAGGCTGTATAATATATTTTCTCTATGGCTGCAGCAGCTGTCAGAGAGAGCACCGTGGTTCAGCTCTATTACTGGAGAGGCAATACCCCATCCTATGGTACAGAGATGCTCGGAGGGGCCAGAGCTGATTGACAGCTTGTCACCGTGACGTCTTATTCCATCTCTGTTATGGAGAAAATTAATGTCACACCACCCGCCTTATGACTTGCTGTCATCTTAGAACTGCTCACCTTTTATCAATGCTCTAAATAACATTTCAAGCCCATCGTCTCACGGTGGACAATCTGGTCAAGGGACATTAAATCAGATGACTGTGAAATGTCATAATAAAAATGGAATGCTAACAACTTCTTCTCTAAACTAGCTCCTCTGGTTTTTAAACTGTGACAAGGAGGAGCAGGGGTTCAGCAAACCCGTTCTGAAAAGGTCAAATAGCAGCTCTTGGACTACTACCCATTACTACCCGTCCCTACTGACCTTCCCTCTGCCTCCCCCCAGGAAGAAAAGAACAAGGAAATGAAATTAGCCACCTTTTCAGAAAGTAGTGATCAAACAGTGGTTCACTCAGGAACGTCTGTTTAATTTGTGGGGTTTCATTGCTGAACAATGAAATTCTCTAGGGCTGCTTCATATCAGTGAGGCAATTCATTCCTTCTCCCACCCTGACCAGCACCAAACCTAAACCAAATCAAATTCTTAAGTTTAACTTCCACTTTAAACACACACATACACACACACACACACACACACACACACACACACACTATGTATGCATTTTAAGAGGAAAACACAGCAATAATCTGATGACCAGCGATCTCCTTTACATGCTTCATCAAAACACATTAGACACTACACATTAGACACTACATCAGTGCACATTAGACACTACAGAAAATTCATTCACTTCATAATACACACGGTGTAAAATACATTAAGGCCTCCACGACATTTCTCTTTGTCCTTCTACTGTTATGAGTTAACACAAATATAGCATGTCCCCTGTTCTGCATTACCACTTCTCAGCGAGTGTGTCTCGAGAGGGAGAAAGACAGCAGGGCTTCAAACTTGGGGTTACAGAAAAGCACATTTCAACATGACTCATCGTTCAATGCATTGGGTAGAATACAGCCTAAGAAGTAGCTGAGATGCCAAACATAACATTTTACATTTAATTGAAATAACTGGCATTTTGGAAAAGATGGAAAACAAAGTATTCATATTCTAAATGGAACTAACTGACTAAAGAAACTATTCAACAGTGGCCAAAAAAATCAATCAATTATAGCTGGATTATTTTAATTATGTGGACAGTAGTATCATCTTCATGCACAGGATAATATTAAAATGGTGATCTAGTAACTACAGAATGTTAATGCCCAGATGAATTTTCAAGTTAATATACCAATTAATTCCTTTCTGATAGTTTTAATGCAGAAAGATCATTTCCAGTAACTAGAGAATATAATTTTAGTGAAGTAGCAAAATGTGAAATAATTTTCATAATTGTAATTATATATTAGAAGATACAACACAATAACTTAGGCTCTTGGGTGGTTTTAGCCTTGCTAAGTCACCTCTATTAAACTGTTTATGGTAATAATATTGGTGGATGAGTTGTACAAGCATTAGCAGACAGCTGATTCAGTGCAGATAGTGAGAATAAATTTGCTGAGGCGCACATTCTGGTAATCTGTTTGAAGAATACTGTAGAGCATTCATACGGGCACTTCATGTCAGCTGCACAACCTGATAAGGTGCGTCTTTATTAAATTCAGTTACTGAAAGGGTGTCCGTCAGCAAATAGGAATGGTTTTTAAAAGCCATTCTTTGTTGGTCGGAGCTCGGTTTCATGGCTGAGTGTCTAGAGGAGACGTCTAAACACCTGGCAGCACTGTACAATACAAGCTTTGTGATTTGAAGTGGGAAAGCCTTCCCCTAGTTTCATCAGCACCAAGGCCGTTACTTTTCCAAGCCGCCATCCAGAGACAAAGGTAGAGCAAGAGCTCCCCTCTCTGTTGATTCAAGAGAACTACAAGATGCGAAATGCGCCCTGAAAGTTGCTGGGAACAGGAAGATTCGACATTTAAAGGACATACAATTTGAAGATGGTGACGACTTTATTGGCACTTCATCCCACACCAAACCCCACACTCGGGCAGAATGAAGGGTCTTCTTTTTGTCTGCCTTTCACTTTCATACTGATATGAGACTTTTCCGAGCTGTAAACATCACTTCGGATGTCCTCTAGCTCCTAGCTTCTTAGGATGCTAATAACATTATTTTAGATTTAGTTCCTTTATGGAAAATTTCTTTATATGATAAAAATCACAAGGCAGAACCTTAGAATACAGAATGTGCTCTGAAATGCATCCTGGAGATGATCAAACTATAGACATCAGTGGGGGCTGCATGGCAGCTCCAAGGGCCTACCCTCTGCTCCTCAAAACCTCCACTGAAAGCCACTTGTCTTTCTGGGAACACTGCACAACCTCATCTGGTTACACGTGGGTCAGGAAGGAAGCTCATTGCATACGTACATATCTCTTTAAGATCTCTCCCCGCTCCTTCTGGTCCTCCAGGGAGTGGACTGAGAGGTCGGAGATACTGACTGTGGCCGAGGCTGTCAGAGTGACAAGCAGAACCAGGTGGCCCTCACCCTCTTCCAGCTGTAACTCCAGCTTGTGGGTTTGCTCCCTACTGAGAGACGACAGGTCAACCTGGCACCTAGAAACAAATGTTTTGAATTAGCAAACGGCGTTCTCACCACATCAAACAGATAGGGGTTTGTTGGAGACCTGTGAAAGTTAAAGCAATAGAAAACCATATGGGATAGTGTGAGATCAACTGCTCTCTTCACAAAACTCAGGCCCTGGAGATCATAGAACTTTTAATTGCTTGTTTCCTGTAAGATAGACACTCAGGGAAAGTTGCGCTATTATCTCCTCTGGTACTGTACTCATGAGTTGGTGCTCAGACCTATTCAGGTTGGAGCAAACTACTAAGAGTGGAGTTTCCATGTCACTGTTGCCATTATGATATTCCTCCTCCCAGTTCATAAATGTCACTGAATAGCAGCTAACAGTCACTGTGGAGAGGTTAAGTTTTACATTTTTAAACTTATACGCACTGTGCACTCACTAAAACTAAATGTGTCCTCCCAGGGCTGCACAACGTGGCAAATCCTGCTGCATGTGCCTCTCCTACAGGCCAAACACCTGCACTCTTTTCCTAAAAATGTGAGTTGATTTCGAGGAGGAGATAATACAGAGACGATCAAGCTAATAACCCCGGGGCAGGGGAAAAAGGGACAGGGATAAGGAAAAAAAATTTCAAACAGGAGGTGGTTTGATAAAATGGCTCAGTGGGGCTGATGTTGGTGTTTTGGACATCTGAGTTTCAACTCTGGGACCCACATGGTGGAAGTAGAGAACCAATTCCCACAAATTCCACTCGTGTGCTCTGGCATACACACACACACACACACACACACACACACACACACACGTGATGATTGAGAAATAGCCAATTATCAAAGTAAACGTTCTCAATACATCGCAAATGAGATGGGCATGTACAAGGGAAAGATTCATTCTTGCTCCCTTTAATTCCGCACTCTACCATCTGTTGCTTGGTTTCGAAGCTGTTTTTAAATAACAGCATAACAGTATAACGCTATCTAAAGTGTTCAAAGATTGTACCTGAATTTAAACATCTCCCTTATGAGACTTTACAAAATGAATCAAAGAGTGACATTTACTTTTATTTTGTGCACAGCATTAAAAATGACTATGACTAGACACAGAGGATGTGCTAAATCCTGTTATTAAGGGAGTTAGAAACCAGTCTGTACAACTCTGGAATACACCTTTCCAAATGCTAGAATAGATACCAGAAACCTTATAGACTCTGTTAATACAACATTCAATTCAAAACACTATCACTAATTCTCCTCAATGCTAAAAAATTAAAATAAAAATCCCACACAATATCAAATGCTTTATCTAACATTCTGATTGTAATTAGAATCAAGTTCTCAATAACACCTGGAGTAAACTGAAAGTTAAAACACATTGAGGAAAACAATTAGTCAAAAGCAATCTCTAATGAAAGGAGGAGCACGAACATGGTTTTAGAGAACTCTCCAGCTCTGGCACAGTACCTGGCCCACAGTGTCTGGCCTTACTGGTTGTGACTACCTCTCCAGCTTGGGTCAGGAATGTAATACTAGGTAACCCAATAGGGATTGTGATCCAGACAGAATGTTGGCTGGTAGGGTTGGGACCATGAGGGACTTTTAATTCACTTTGTTCCTTTCTGCAGCCCATCCCCAGCTCAGTTTGATCACGTCTTTCCCAGGCCCTTCCTTGCATTAGCCTTGAGCACTGGAATACACTCAAGCCTCCTGGTCGCTTCCCTTTCAAGCTCAGGACCACTTTGCACAGGCTGTGTAGATGCTTCGGCTTCCTTTTAGAGTCTTCACAGGCAATGCTTCAGAGCTGGGAAAGTGCTCTCAAGATACTTCCTCTGGAAAGTGCAAACTGGCAACTTTTAGAAGGAATCACAGCCACAGGTTTATTGTTTGATTGGGTGTGTGTGCACACATGCATGTGTGTGCATGTTTGTGCATGTGCATGCGATTGTGTGTGTGTTGTGCCAATAAAAGTTCAATTCTAAATACAATAATTTTGAATAAGTTACAATAGGTATTAAGGATTTGTTAGTCTTGCAATCTGCTACATGCAATGAAAAACTGAGGAGCAGGGAGGTCAAATGACCTAAGTGAACATACACAGTCGTGACCAGAGTCAGAGCCTGTACCTGGGGCTCTGAAATGGAAGGCCTAAGCATTCTGCTCTCCAGGACTCACTGAGAAACAGCATTCTTGGAGGAAAGTGTGCAGTTAGCAATGGTTCCCAGAGATGGTCAGACATTTCAGTTACCGGAAGTATCTTCTTTTCCACATATAGAATTGTGTTGTTTTTATTTCAATGTTTTAAACTACATATACATTAGGAAATTAGCTGTGCTTGTTCTTATAGGACAAGAATACTTCACAAATTCACATTTAAAAGCTATGATACTAGTAAAATTTAAACAGGATAGACTTATAGAAATGTTTCCTCGTCAATGAAAACTTCAGAATTGAATATGCTCACAGGAAGAGCCATGTGTACTGCAGCATCTTGACTATCCTAATATTAATATAGAGGACAATAATATGCTGGATGTGGGAGTGTTGAATGTTAAAACGTGGGAGTTTTCATTCAACTGTGGCCACTCAGTCATCTTATTTATCTAAAATTCTGCTCCGGAATAAGAAGCTGTTTTAAATGTCAGTTTTGCCGTGACTTCGCCAAACTGTCTTGTTAATTTGAAGATAAAGTTTGCATCACATCTTCATTGCTGAGTATCAAATCAAGTGACTGCTGGGATAAATGTAGAAAAAGAATTTTCCATTCCCTTTTAGCTTTTGAACAAATATGTACAAAGACCCTTGTGGCATAGTCTACTGCCCTGCGAATACAGTGCTAATTGGTGTGGGATGAAGGGCTTGTATGTGGCTCACCTGGACTGGTAAATCCATCACAAAGGAAGGATTCATCACAGATGAACTATAGAAGTAAGAGATTATCCAGGGGACCTATGCATACAGAATGCTTTTTAAATATGAAAATGCAAAATTATTTTTTAAAAAGCAGTAATGTAAATTCATGAACTCCAGAAATACTTGGCAGAGATGAAGAACCCAGAGTCATTTTCTCATTGCAGGACTCTGTCTCCACTAATTAGCTGTGTGACCTTTTCCAAGACAACTTTCCCACCTGAATTTCACTTTTCTCATCAGCAGTTATGAGATAATTGAACTAGATGAACTCTGAGTTTTCAGAATCCCCAGTCTCACAATTTGTGATAACTCTATCCATGTTTACACATGTGTCTTTCTTTCTTTGCAATTCTACAAACTAAAAACCTAAAAGAGTTTTTCTTATAAGTAATGAAATATTATTCCTTATTCATCTTATAAAACAAAACAAAGCAAACGACAACCAGACCCCAAACATACTAGACACATGACATCAACAAAAGCTTTCTATTGGATCCCATTAAGACTCAACACCGCCATAGTGCCAGTACCAGTGACATGCCATCTGACCACCAAGCACAAAGATTGATGGGAACTCCAGCCTTGTCCTCCATCTCACCTTGAAGGTGCTATGCCTCCCTTGGTTAGCTCTGCTCACCCTAAAGCTCAGCTCTGTAAGCCTCTAGCAGCTCTTCAAATGTGTTCCTTACATTTTATCTGAGCAATGGGAATGACCGTTATCAGCCACTTGACCCATCCTACTATGTATCACAACCATGAAGTATCTTGTCAGACTCCTGCTGATCCCAAAGGCATGGTGATCACTCAGAGTATCCATCTTCCTATATCACATCTTTCAAAGATGAGGCTGGCAACTAGTTAGGTATTAACAAACTCTGGAGAGCACTGGAGTCAGGGGCCCCAGGAGCCACAAAATCAACCTCGAAACCACAGTACTCTTAATGAATGGCCCCAGGGACAGAACCCAAGTCACACCTCTGGCCCTATGGGAAGATACGATATCCTGAATTGTTCAGAAACTTGTAACTAGATTTCTAAACCAGGTGCAAAGCCCCAAACACTATAACTATCAAAGAAGAGACTTTCTAATAAAGAATAAGGGACTATCACTGTTTCCATCTGTAAACAGGGCTGGGGATGTAGCTCAGGTGGATCGCCGTATGGCATACAGGCTGCCCTAGGTCCAAGCACAGNTTCACACAGCACCCTCACTGGTCACTGTACCCGAGTCCTCATAGGTGCTCTTCACACCAGCTGTCATCCTTCACTTGCTTAAATAGACTGGGTCCTCTCCTCGGCCATCACTGTATGTTCAGGTCAAGCATCCACATGCCTGACTTTGTGACTTCTAAGGCCACTTCCGCATTTGCATGCAAAGCCACACTGTAGGATGCAATGTTGCTCTTAGAATCTGTCAGTGGACCCCATGAAACAATGCAGAGGTTGTTTTCCTGCGGAGTGAACTTTGAACAGGAAGTGGAAAGATACCTGCTAATATCTCCTTCCCTCTGACTATTCCAAACTATGATCTGATCTTATTGCTTGACTGCAGACAGCCTTGACCTACGACTGCTAAGCAGCCTGTCCCTGATACACAGAAAACCGTGAACAAATTGGCAGCATATTATCTTGTGTTGTGTGCCAGGGCTCCCCCTTCTTCATCTCATATCTTACTTTATGGAAATATACCTTCCCGTAAAACAGCAACACCCAATTTTTGCCTACGAGTTTGTTTCTAGAGAAACCAGGCTAAGGTGAAAGGTGTTGACACAGTTTATCCACACTCCCAGTCTGGGATGTTCAAAACTTGACTTGACTATGTCCCCGCTTCCCTTTCCCTGAGACATATACCCAGCAACCTGGCAAGACCCTCACTAAGCCATTATCAGCCTGTGTGTGACTTGTCTGTGTCATATTCTGTGACTCCAGGCTGCCGCTAAATCTCACCAGCTTCTGGGGATTTGGATGAGACCTCCTCCCTGCCTGAGACTATAGTCTCTCTCTCCTTACTTGGCTAGCTTCTACTAATCATTACTGGAAAACTTTGCAGTTGTTTCTCTTCATGTCCTGAAACGTCTGTAGGGAGGGGTGATACCCTGTCCTTTATAGCACCTAGACT